CGCCGCCGCCTCCTCCGCCCGCCCCGCTCCTGCCCCGCTCCCACCCCTCCCGCACACTTTCCACAGGAAATGATTAACTCGGGCCGCGGCGCGTTCCCATGGCAACCGGCTCCGACCCAGCGGGGGGCGGCAGCGCGCGCCCGCACTCACGCGCACGCGCCGGCCGGGCGCGCGCCCCTGCACACTATCACGCTTGCACTGACACGCGCGGGGCCTCCCACTCGGTCTGTCCCGCCTCCCCGCGCCCCGCACACGCCGGTGCACACGTGTGCGCTCAGCCACTGGTGCACACGCACCGGCACACGTGCTCATGCGTTCCCCAACAGGCTCTCACACGACTACGCAAAACATGCCTGCACACGCGCCCTCACACTCTAGTCAGCACACACGAACACATCCCAGTCCTCACACGCATTCCCACACCAGGCGGTCCCTTCGCACTTTTGCACTCACACTAGTACACACAGCCTCGAACCGAAGTACAAAACTTTCACACCCTCCAGCTAGTACGCACGCATCCACTTCTCTCACCACACACTAATACACGTTTTCTTCCCATTCCAGCACACACTAGCACTTGCACTTGCACACGAGACAGTGCATGTACACACTTTAACGTGCTCATACACTCACGCTGTTGCACAGCGCACACATTCTTTCACTCGCCCCTGCACTAACACATAGGCCAGACTGTCCCCCGCCCCCAACCCAGCAAAGGATCATCTTCCAGAGGCTGGACGCTGCTTGGGATTTTTTAAAGTAAAATATTCCTTCAAGCTCCAGTGAAAATACACCGGGAGTGCAGCAGCTCTTAGCCTAGCCCCAGAAGGCCCTCCTCACAGGGCACCTGAGAGCCCCAGAAGAGGCCTGGGGGAGGCCAGGAGGCTGGCCAGCCAGGACAGACAGATAACTGCCCTGGAGGAGCCACTCTGTTCTTTGTCTCCCAAACAGAGGCAGCATTTTATTCCAGAGTCAGCAGCACTATTCCCCCTCCAGGGTGCGGGAGGAGGAGAAAGAAAGTAGCTCAGAAGCCAGCCCAGCCTAGGCGAGGCGGATGGTTCCGCAGATAATCCAGGAGGGTGGGCACCCAGCCCCTTCCTGCACCGCAGAGGAGGAGCCAAGAAGAGCCAGGACAGGACTGGAGGGGGTCCTGCAGCTCCAGGTTGTTTCTATCTCCTGCTGCTGCCGGGTGCTGGGCTGGCGGTCAAGAATCTAGATCAGGGACAGAGCCAAGGGCCTGTGCCTCGTTCTGAATGCCAGACCAGGACAGTCCCCCAGCTGGAAGAGGGCTTGTTCGTGTTTTATTTTCCAACCGAGATTCCTGAGTGAAGGCCCAATAGAAGGTAAATGTCACTCTCCTGGAATCATTCCCTGGGGAGTTAGATTTCCAGCTGAGAACCCGTAGAACCCTCCTAATGGGAGAAAAAGCCTTATTTTGAGAGCTGCCTTCTCTGAATCCCCTTGCCTGTCCTCCAGAAGGTGAAATTTCTCTAGATTTCTGACCAAGTGTCTCCCTTTAGTATAGTCCCTATTAGTTGACTGGAGGGTAGGGTAGGATGTCTGTCTTTAAAGTCCTGATATAAAACCAGAGGCCTTGTTTTCTTGGGGGTTGGTACATTAACCGCAGGTTCCTTCCAACAAAGCCAAAGCCAGATTTTTAAATTAATAATAACATTTATTATTCTTTTCCTCTGATTAGAAAAGTAATAGATGTTCATTGTAACCATAATCCCACCCACTAGAGATAAATGCTGCCAACACTTTAGAACTGTCTTTTTTTCCTGTGCACATAATAGATACCATTTATTCAAAGTTAACACTGTGCCAGGCACTGCACTAAGCTCTTTATAAACAAGATCCCATTTAACCCTGAACAGCCTATGAGGTAAGCACCATCATATCCGCATTTTTCAGGAGAGGATACTGAGACTCAGAAAGTTCGTTAACAATTCCAGTGTGTAATAATGCTGAACTATGAGCCCAATAGTGAGTGTACAAACACACACACACACACACACACACACACACAGTACTCTCATATGTACATAGGTATGAGTTTATTAAGATCAAAGCACCATGAAGGAAAAAGAAAATTAAGGTGTTAGGAGGATGCGTTTTCAAAATTCTAGCAAAATTCTGACTTGAAATGTAAAAGCTAACTGTTTCATGACTGTTGGAATTTATTTTAAGAATGCACAATGTCACGAGGAACTACATACCGACTCGAAGGTCATTTCTATCCCAGAAATTTCACTGATGATGTATGTGGTGGCTGCCAACTCTCCCCTGGCCACAGGAAAGGTGGAGGACTTGCCAGAAACCTGGACATTCAACACTGAGGTCCTGAACCCATGAGTGAGGAATCCGGTTTGGCTTTTGGCCTTGACCCTTCCTGGCCACCTGCTGGCAGAGGCACAGCTGTCTCAGGAACGGCCAGACAAAAGGCAGTGGCCAGAACTCTGCAAATCTATACCCACATCCGTCCCGTCCCCATCGAAGGGCCTAAAACCCCTTACCTCTCAGGCGGCTATCAGAGAAGTAGCCAAGGGCCCAGTTCTTTTCCCCAGAGGGAAACAGAGAGGGGAAATGAAAAGCCAGATTGTGTTTGATCTGATTCTCATAACAACCCAGAGTAAATTACAGATAAGACCAAGTAACTTTCCAGTTTTAATGATTTAACTTGAGATCTAATCACCTCCAGGCCTTTGCAAATGCTGTTCTCCCTGCCCAGGAGGCCTCTGTCCTTCACCTCACTACCACCTGCCTCCACTAACCTCTACCTGAACAATTCCTCCGAGTCCTTCAAGTCCTTCAAGCTGAGAGTCACCTTCCTTGACCCTCCCAGAAACCATCCAGCAGCTCACCCCACCCCCTGCACCATCCCCCCCCCCCCCCGCTTTTTAATGGTCTTTTTTTTCTCCCCTTTTTTTTCCTCTTGGTTGGGCGGCTCCCCCCCCCCCCCCGCTTTTTAATGGTCTTTTTTTTCTCCC